CCTCCCCTCCCCGCAGGGCGAGCGTGGCTTCCCCGGCGAGCGCGGCTCCCCCGGCGCCCAAGGCCTGCAGGGACCCCGCGGGCTCCCCGGCACCCCCGGCACCGACGGGCCCAAGGTGGGTGACAGCGAGGACAGCACAGGGGCACTGGCACCCCCGAGGGGGGATGAGGCGGGGGGATGCGTGTGGCAGCCTTGGCACTCCAAAAAACCCCCAAAACCCGCGCCTTTCCCCCCCCACACACCTCCTCTGCTTTAGGGTGCCACCGGCCCCGCTGGCCCCGCTGGCGCGCAAGGACCCCCCGGGCTGCAGGGGATGCCCGGGGAGAGAGGAGCGGCTGGAATCGCCGGGCCCAAGGGAGACAGGGTGAGTGGCGGGGGTCTGAGGGGGGGGGTGTCACGAGAGCTGTGGGGTCTCAGCTCGTCTCACCCCTCCCCCGGTGTCGCCCCCCCCCGCAGGGAGACGTCGGTGAGAAGGGCCCCGAGGGAGCCCCCGGCAAGGACGGCGCCCGCGTGAGTGGGAGATGGGGTGGTGGTGGTGGTGGTTGGGGGGGAGGGATGGTTTGGTGGGGGACCCTCGGGTGGCCTCACCCTCTTTTCTCCCTCCCCTCCGCAGGGTCTGACGGGTCCCATCGGCCCCCCCGGCCCTGCCGGCCCCAACGGCGAGAAGGTGAGAGCTGGGGCAGCCCCTGAGCTGCCCCCGACCCGGGGAGACCCCCCCAGACCCCCACGACTCTCTGTCCTTCCTTTCCCAGGGTGAATCCGGCCCCCCTGGCCCATCTGGCGCTGCCGGTGCCCGCGGTGCCCCCGTAAGTGCCAGCCTGTCACAGCCTCCCCACCCCGGGGTGCTGGTGGTGCCGCTGCTGCTCTTTGTCCCTCATTTACCTCACTGATCTCATTTACCCCGTTGATCTCATTTACCTCATCATTTACCCCCTTTTTCCTCCTCATTTGCCCCCTCATTTACCCCACCATTTGCCTCATTTACTCCCTTCATTTACCCCCTTTATCCTCCTCATTTACCCCCATCATTTACCACCATCTCTTAGCCCTTTATCCCCCTCATTTACCCCCTCACTTACCCCACCATTTACCTCATTTACCCCATCATTCATCCCCTTTATCTCCCTCATTTACCCCCTCATTTACC